ATAATGATAATGATAATGATAATGATAATGATAATGATAATGATAATGATAATGATAATGATAATAATAATAAAGGTGATACCGGGGGACAAAACAGAAGAAAGAGTTGAACTGACTGTTTTACAGGGCCGTAACCAGGGGGGAGCACAGGGCGCACGTGCATCCCACCCCCCATAAAAGCTTAAGGTTCCCTCATCTGTGCACCTCCCCTGTAGATCCCTGGTTACGCCACTGTTTTACACCCGGTTGACATAAGCAGTCCTGGCTTATGCTGCGATTGATTTTGAATAGATATGATACAATATATGTGCTCATGTGCTCAGTTTGATTTTTTTAAAATCATTTTCTAGATTCAAGTCAAAAGCGTCTCATTTGTCAAATCTAATGAGGGACCGACCGCGMACGCCCTTACAAGAGTCCGCTGATTCAATCGAATACGTGCTTAGAAACGGAAACCTACGTCATCTTCGTGTCCGATCGTTCGATCTACCATGGTATCAGTACTACCTTGTCGACGTCATGCTTTTCATTGCTGCCTTGGTTACAGCTGTTGTGTTTGTGTTGGCATTTTTCTGTCGATGCTGCTGCAATTTGCTGTGCAGGAGGAGGCTTGGGAAACAGAAGGCAGAATAGTTTGATGATGATAATGATGATAAACGATCCTAATTGCAAATACTAATAAAAATTAATTATACTTTAAATCTAATACATATGATAAATTAGAAAAACCTTACAGTCAAAACAAGAAAATTGTGAACACCTAAAATATGTCTGGAATGTAAAACATCGTGTCCTGACCAATCACATGCGACAGTTAATTAGACATGAATTCATTCTCGCATGTGATTGGTCAGAAAGTATCGGTTTTCTTACTTTGACTGTAACTTATTCATATAAACGAAATAAAATCAATAATAATAATAACAATAATAATAATAATAGCAATAATCGTAATAATAAAAAGTTTCTAATTTTAAATGATGATACAAGATATACTAATACTAAGACATAGCGCATACTATCAATTAAAATAAAATTAAACTATGAATATTTAAAAAATGAAACATTAAATAAGCGAAAATATTCATAGGACTCTGAAAATGACTTCCGCTCAGGTTGTGGAAACCTCAAACACCACCACCAACAGCCTTTCCTCAAGACTACACTCACCCGCCCGGACGATCGCATTTCACAATGAAACTGAATGAAAAAAAACACCTGGATGGGTTTTAAACCATTTACTCTTAACATTCATATAACCAAATAGTATTTTTACACAAGTCAATATAAATAACCCAGCGAGCTTATTGGTCACAATGCAATCTTGAATGCAAGGCTAACATGGAAACACGAAAGAAATGGCACAAATTCTATCGAGAAAAGTTATTTTGCATTTTATTTCATGCTAGCCTCGCATCCACTAAATTTTTGAATAGAACAGTGAAGGCGCACGCATGTTTGTTCATGTGTGCCGCTTGCAGAGATGAAATAAAATTTGGAACAAAAATACAAAAACAAACTCGCGTCTTGGTAAATATTTCTCGATATTCACTTCGCCTTCAGCGAATAATTGTTAAATATGTTCTAGAAGAATTTTAAAAAAAATCTAACTAAAATAGGATGATTAAAATAAATATTATAGATCTTAAGATGCTTATGTGGTCAGCTATTTCTATTTCAGTGTTTCATGTGGCAACCTATTTCTATCCCAGACTTGACATAAACTATTAAACCATAACAATACAGGTGCTTGAATTGCATCGTTTTTGATTCACAATGACCGTAGTAATTTAAAAAGATAATATGGAAATACTGTTTTAAGAATTGCCAACGTACGTGTACATTTACGGGGGCGTTTTAAATCTGCTTAGCTTAGCCACGTATACCTCCGAGACGAAGGTGTATGGCTATTATTAACGTGGAGTTGTGTTTTGACTTGATGGTCATATTGTGAAGTGCTTGGTTCGAATTTACCGACACCAAGGCTCGCGTTCGCGTCGTATCGTTTCGTCTGTGGTCTTACATGTCATATAACTATTTCCAGTCGCGTATATTTAACGTGACCATACCACGCTGCACGTCACATCAGTATGTTTAAGGGCTCGAGCATAGACTGACCCGAAAATACTGTTATTTTGTTCATCGCTCCACGGACATGTAAAACGATGGTTAACAGCGATCGAGTTTTGGCCGAGGATTTCAGTACTTTAGTACTTATCTGTTGCTTGATTATTGTAGCCGTTGAAGGCCTTTCAAATACAGGTAAGCCAGTCCTCTCTACGTGTCTTTGAATTGAAAATGACGCTTGCTTAGTTTTTGTTTCATACTCGATCATCAACACAATTCCTGGTTAAAATGGTATTGGACTGAGAATTCTTCCTGCCAAGAAAACTACGGTTACCAAACTTTTTTTTACTACAAATTCAAATAAAACTGAATTTCCTAGAGCTTTTTCTATATTTTTAAGCGGTCGTGAGCGTTAGAGTAACCATAAAATTAACCGAAAATTTAAAAACGTTTACTATATATATCATATTCCTAATTTAAAAGGTTTAAAAAAAATTCGACAAGCTCTAATATATTGTGAGCATAAATCTCACATGGTTTTATTTCTAGAAAAACCATTCATTATTCAAATCCATCGAGGATTGAAATAGCTTGATATTTCTATTTTCAGACAATCAACATTAGCTTCTAGGAAACGAATTCTCTAACCACGAGAATGTAGTCAAATTAATATTTAATGGCAATGAGTGAAAACTAAAATGACCTTCCAAAACTAATCACACACCACAAATACACTGCAAAATTGAGCAAAGCTGAACAACGTTAGGTAAATCATGATTAGAATTTTGAAGTAAAATCAAGGAATGATTTAGATTTTTTGTTGACATTTTTAAGAGATATTTGTTTTGATATTCAGTTAATATCGACCCCTTCCATAGGTTTTTATCTTACAAAACAATATTTAATCTTAGAACAAGTAATAATAACACTGATAACGTGTTTCTGTTTTGAATAGAATATGTTCTTATTTTTCATTGAATATTGAACGAAAAAGCCAATTTGCAGGCTTCATAAATGTGACACATGATTTCATGATTTTATCATGAAATGATTTCATAGTTTTGAAAAATCAATTAATTTTTAGCAAATGTTCTGCATATGTTCTTCAAGATATTTTCTCTTGTCCTTGTCCTTGTCCTTGTCCTTTTTCCCCTTTTCATCCTTAAAGCCTTGTCATCTGACATTTTACTGACTTGAACTAATTGTTCGCAGATTCCCCAGGCAATTGCACAACACAGAACAGTCGATGCTGCAAACTTGGTCTAAAAGCAGCCCGCCATCACGCTATTTCTCCAATCTACACGTGCTACTATGAGGCCCTCATAGCTGGCTTAGATCACCAGACATCAGTAGCTTTTAGACTACGAGCTTCAAAAGGAAGACTTCGACAGATAAAAAACATTGCTAGAGCTACTGCCTTTCGCCGGCGACTTTCATTCTGCTATACCGGAAAACACAAGAAATGCTTCGAGTCATGCTGTCTTGCGAAGCGAAAAAATAATCATTCAAAGTTAAAAAATGCAAGCCACAAGCCGACTTCGACGACAACAAGAAGAACAACTTAGACTGGCATGTCAACAATTTGTATCTTAATCAAGAGGATTATCATCATAGCTGCGGATAAAAGTCGCCAAACAAAAACATAATCTACATTTGAGACTCAGTGTCTTTTGTAAATTACCTGCCTTTGGCAAATCTTCAAATAAATACATAAATAAATAAACAAACAAACGAACAAACA